TATGTTACACTTTTATAAAGTGTTGACTTTTGACTAATGGACTCCATAGCTTATATTAAAATGATCTATCGGTTTGTATGTTTGAAAGTATAAGTTTGGTTTGAGCTAATGGTTGAATGATATTTCTGGATTTTGGAGGTCCAAGGCCCAAGTTAACGATCGATGTTGCTCGTAATATAAGTTTATTTCTTTTAACCATGATGGTGGTTTTAAAATTTCAAGGTTTCTTCTTTTCTATCATGGTTAATCTTTCGAATAAATTGTTTGATTTAATCTAAATGGGTTTTGAAAGAACGGTTGTCACACCTTCTTCAATAGAGTTTATGGAGTTGAAGGAGGAAACACATTGGTTAAAAGAGCAGGTTAAAGCACAAGGGCTCCTGATTGATCAATTGATCAACGGCTAAGCACCACAGCCGGCTTTGAGTCTTAGCTCGAGTGGGAAACATAGCTGCACATTTCCCTATCTATCTGAGGTATAATACTATTTATGTTTATATTATCACATTTAATTATTTTCAAAACAAAGTAAGTAAAATGTATATGTTTACTTAGGGTGAAACGGTCATCCAGTGTGGGGCAAATAGCCCTAAACATCACACCATCACCACGGGTCACATGTTCAACTTACCGAGAGAGACTATGATTCATGAGATGGCTCTCCTTATTGATCATGTAAGGATACAGTTGAATTCTATGATAGATGGCAACCATGCCCTTCTTGTGTCTACCCCAAATGCAGAGACAGTGGCCCAAGCGATAGGTAGCTTTGTTACTTGGTCTAGACATCTTATTACGTTAAAACCGCCTAAAAAGGTGTATGTATATATATATATGTCTGTGTGTTGAAACCTTTAGCTAATTTAAAATAATTTATAAATTCTGTTTTAATTACTAACTATATGTTTGTTAGTCTAAGAGAAAGAAGAGTCTATTAGAAAATCAGTCATTGTCATGTTCACTGTAACATCCAAAATATTATCTTAATATTAAAAAATTTATTATTATTTCAAAAAAGTAATAAAATAATAATATTTTATTAAAAAAAACACCCAGCTTTTCCACTGAATTCGGTAGAAAAGCTGAGGGCATTTAAGAAGAAGAATTTAGGGGAAGGGGTTATCTAGTGAAGAAATAAATTTGAGGCGTGTGATTAATAAAATGAAGAAGAAAAATGAAGAAGAGATAGTTGAGTGGAAAGGATAAATGGGAGGAGGAGAGGTGATAGATAGAAGAGAAAGAGAGAGCGAGAGGCAGAGAGGAAAAGAGAGAGCGAGTGTACTGAGCTGGAAAGTACATGATAAGCTATGAGGATAATTTAGGTATATTAAAATACTTCTTTTTATTAAATTTTCTTTATGAATATTTCCTATATATTTAGAGCTTTATATTAATAGTATCATTATAATGTTTAGAGAAAATTTTGTGTTTTGAGTACGGAGTAAGTAGTGAGTTTTGACAATATATAACTATAGAAATTTAAAGATACATTATTAAGAAATTTTAATTGGTTTATAGTTATTCATTGATTGTTTTGAGGATTTTAAACTAAAATTTTAGCTAAAATATGTATTATTCAAGACATATAGAATGTTTTTACTAATTAGATTTGAGTTAAATAACTTAATTAGGTTATTTAATATATCACTGAGATTTTAATCAGTTTAAAATGTGAAATAGATTAAGGATATATTATTAGAAAATTTTAAAATTGAAAACTTAAGTTATAAATTGAGAGATCTACAAAATTAAATAAAATCAATACTTATTTATAATTTGAATGAGTTATTTGGTGGAGGAAAAATGTTATTTAAAGCAAGAATTTTTTGGGTGGTAAATATATGTATATATATTAATAATAATAAATTCTATGTATATGTATATTAAATTGTATCTACATTATTTGTAGATTATCATGTACTCCGAAGTCTGTCATTTGTGCTCTTATTCCTCAAGCTATGAGATTAACCTTGGAGTAGATATAACTGGGGTTAATTTATTTTATATACATGCTTTAAATTGTGAGGTATTTACTATGCTTTTATTTTCTCAAATTAATTTGTGAAAGTATGTCTATAAATAAAGTATGTATTTTCTTATATCACAAATTTTGATGGAATGGGAAGTATATCGATTTAATTATGTAAGAGTTGTATTTTATCAGGAATTATGTTTTCTTGTAGTGCTGAATTTGATATACTAATATTATGTTATTAAATAAAATGGAAATGTGTTGTACTTTGTTTGAAATTATATCATCTTACTTTAAAAAATTATGATATTTTGAATTTATATTGTGAGTATGCATAGGGTTCGTATGTGGAGGTCAGGATTATGTTATGTGAAGGATAATTGTTCTTAAAGTCCATGCGGCATGCCTACAATATTGATCATAGTGCTTGGCCTTTTGTCAGACCCTTGTAGTTCTTCCTTTTCCATGACCCGGAATTGAAAACGAGCTCTTGGGTAGATACCTCTTGCACTATAGTCCATTCTTGGGCGGTATAGGCATAGGAGGAGGCCCGTTACTTGAGGTAAATGGGGTAACCTTTGGCTAGGTTACTCAACATAGAAAGTTTAGGTCCTTGTCAAGGAGTCATAAGGAGGAGTAGGCTAATAAGAAGGCATATTTCATGGTGTTATTGCATAAGTGTACTTTTGTATGAATTGTATTGTGAATGGTGAGACATACTCCTTTTATGTAGTTGTATCTATTAAAGTATCATTTATTACTTAAATTATATTTAAGTGCTACTTCACTAACTTGGCATCCTACTTATGTATGTCATAAATTAATACTTGGTTACTAGGACTTAATTATCTTACCCCGTTATTCATCAAAGCTTTTTGAGAGAGCATCTAGTTTGGCTCGGCGTGAAGGGAAGCAATTAGAGGCATAGGCGAGGATAGCCTAATAGCCCTCTTTTGGTTTGGGCTTGTAATGTTATGCATATTGCCATCTTAAGGCCCATATTTTGCTGACATATACTTACTTTTGTTTGGTTGTTGGAAAACTATATTTGATGAAGTGATGTTAGAATGGCTGGAGGCTGCAAGACTTTGTTGCATGTGTTATTCTTATGGATTGATTATGTGTATGACTTATAGGCTGGGTTGAGCACCCTGTGTTTCTTGTGCAAGTCTTTGTGGGATAAATATTTATGATATAGCCATATCTTATGTCACAAATGATCTATTGAAAGAAATTCTGGCTCATGAAATGGCTAGGACGAATGCCTGTAACTTTTATATAAGGTATTTCTCAAACCATAATTAAATACTTAGAACATTTATTATATTGATATTTTTGTTTGGGTAATTAGGTACCTTTACAAGAATTTCATTGTTCCTGGCAGCCTTGATGAAAGGTTTAGGTTCATTAGTCCCCATACCTTTACTAACCACAGCCCTGATACGAAGCAAGACTTATCGAGGGACTTGACTAATATCTTCATTTTAAGGGCAGCAAAAAATAGGGACACTTTCTTTTTGGCACCTTACTGCCATAGGTAAGTATGCTAAATTTTTTTTATTTTATAATACTTTCTAACTATTCTTATTGTCTTTATTGTACTTAGGGGACACTTAATGCTGATTGTGGTCAATCTCTTTAAGCCAAAAGTTTGGTATTTTGATTCTCCTAATATTTGACCAATCGACCATTTATATAATCATTGTTTAACAGGTATCTTGAACGTATTTTATTACATTAAATTTAATTTCTTTTTTATCTGATTTTTGACAATCACCAACATTTAATTTTATTGTATTCTCAAAGCTCTGTGGCTATTTTGCATAGATGAAGGCTTAGCATGCCTCCCGGTCAAAGGCGGCCTATTCGATTCTGTATTCCCATAGAAAAAACTAAAGATATTCATCACCATTAACTAATCAACTAAATATAGTTTATCATTATATCATCATTAATATATTTTCCTTTCCCTTTCTTTATAGTGCCCATTATAACTAGACATGAGCTCGAATTGTAGATATTGTGTCATGAAATTCACGAAAGAGATACTTACACACAATGTTGACATAATCACTACTAAGGTAACATGTATTTATTCAAAATTTAATTTATACTTACGTTAATTATACATTTATACCTAACATCATTAATTTCTTTGTTTCTTGCATACAATACTTTATGGATACATATTACATGCGATATTCGTCTAGTTATATTTGTCACAGTTTAATGTCTTGTGCTTTTGGTTTTGATACTTGGATAATTTTGTTATGATTTTTGTAAATAGCCAATTTTGGTTTTGGTTTAATACTTGACAAATTTTGTTTTGCTTTCTCTTGTCCAAGTTTCTTTTTATATACATTGTATGACTTTTGATTTTTTAAAATATAATGTCAATTTCTATTTCTAATTTACTGGCTGGATTGATGTATATATGTTTTTTGTTCTATTGCTCCCTTTTGTTTTCAAAACATAGGAGTGCTACTAAAAAAGTAGCCAATAGCCACCTCATTTTTTTAAAAAAAGGTCTACAATACTTGACAGTTATTTGATATAACTATCAAGTATTGTAGGTATATTTTATGGTTATATCTAGTAACCATCAAATATACAATATACTTGACGGTTATAGCAAATAACCATCAAGTATATTGAACACATAATTAATGGTTATTGATCAAAACTGTCAAGTATGTTTATACTTGATGGTTTTGATCAATAACCATCAAGTATTTGGCCGTAATACTTGACGGTTTTTAGATAAAACCGTCAAGTATTGTATCAAATATTTGATAGTTATTTACTATCAAATATTACCTACGCAAATATTTGACACCTCCATATTTAATGGTTATAAACTATCAAGTATGGCTAAAAATAACTGTCAAGTACTTATATTTTTATAGTAGTGATATTTTACACATGAGTAGAATAGTAAAACACAGAAGTATGAAGACAATAATACATCACACATCACACAACATCACATCATGATGATCTTATTTTCAGTTAAGATATCCAACATAACTTATATGAAGCCATGGATGGAACCAAAAATATGTGATTTTAGCATGGCAAGCTCCTTACATACTTGCTCCATGGTTGGGCGAGCACGTGGATTTTCATTTAAGTTAGTAGAAGCTATTCTTACAATCAACATCACCTTCTTAGCCACTGAGTTTCGAGGATAAGGTAGCCTTTTCTCTAATACTTCCTTCAAATCCAAATCGTGAGCAACTATTGTTAGTGTTGTACTAGAAGATGTTGATGAGAAACACAACATTATGAGATCTCTTGGATGTTTTCCCATAATTATTTCCAAAGCCAACACTCCAAAGCTATAAACATCACATTTCTCCATCACTTCCATTGGGTAGGCAAGTTCTATAACAAAACCAAAAAGATTATCATGAAAAAACATTGTGAATAATAAATTTTTAATTGCTAAATAATGCAAACATGAAACATAACACCATGCAAACTCAAAAGTAATGAAAATCACATAACATAAAAGATCTTTAACCTGTAACAGCATAGCCAAAGGTACCAGCAAATGAGGTCCAATTGTTAGAATTTGGATACAAAGGCTTTGCTATCCCGAAGTTAGAGATACGAGCCTCATAATCTATGTCTAAAATAACATTTTTGCTTGATATGTCACAATGAACTATCAGAGGTGAGTATCCATAGTAAAGATAGTATGAGGCATTAGCCATGCCTTCAACAGCTTTGATTCTTTTACTCCAATCCAATGCAATTGCTTGTGTCTCTTCACTTAGTATCTTGTCCAAGCTACCTCCTTCCAAGAATTCATAAACCAAAAAGGAGACCTTTGAATGCCAGCAAAATCCATATATCTTGATGATATTATGATGCCTAGTTTCTGTTAAGGTTCTAATCTCACTCATAAAAGCTTTCTAATGACACATATCCTTGTCTAGTACTGAATGAAGCTTTTTCACTGCTATAACTTGACCTGTGGATAATTCTGTTTTGTAGACACTTCTAGATACTCCTTCCCTAATGAGATATTTTTCATCAAACTCCTTTGTGGCTTCAATAATGTTTTCACATACTAATTTCCCATCATAACTCCATATAGTAAACAAATTTTGAGTTTGCACTTCTGTTTCTTGACCTTTTGTTTTCCTTGCTTTGTGATGGCAAATAACATATGAAATCCCAACGAAAAATGCTGTAGCATCACAACTCCCAAACAAAAGGATACAACATAGATCAACACTTCTTTGCTCTTAGAATGGCTTGAGTCAAAATTTGTTGTTGGGCAAATTGGTAGGCCAGATAGATTACCACATAAGCCTTTGTTGCCTATTAATCTCTCCATTGTAGCTGTACGAAAGGCTGAAATATTTGGAAGTGAGCCTTCTAATTGATTGTTTGATATGTCAAGCACAACCTAGCTATTCATATCAACAAAAAGTGAAGGAACAGTTCCTGAGAAATTGTTGTGTGAGAGATTTAAAATTTCTAATCGATGTAGCTCTCCAAGCATTGCTGGGATTCCCCCAGTAAATAAATTTCTACTAAGATCAAGAGACTGAAGATGTTGTAATTGACCAAAACTAATGGGAATGCTAAAGAACTTGTTTCCAGTTATGTTCAATTCCCATAATTTGGTCAACCATCTTAGTTGTTCTAGAATTGAGCCACTTAAATGATTATTAGCTAGACTCAACTGTTCAAGGTTAGGCAACAGTCCTATATCAATAGGAATGTTTCTTGAAAGTTGATTGTTGCTCAACGTAAGTTCAATCTTTAATGATAAGTGACTCAATTCCTCTGGAATACTTCCTGTCAAGTGATTCGATGAAAAATCAAGACTCTATAACTTGGTTGCCTCACTTAGTTCTAATGGTATTCCCCCAGATAAGTAATTATTTGACATCTTGAGGGTTGCAAGGTTACGATACTGCCCCCATGTAGGTGACAAGTGGCCATAAAATGCATTGTTACTCAAATCAATGTAGTTTAAGTGTGGGCATATGCCAAAAGCATCTGTGACATTTCCTATCAATTGATTACTTTCAAACGTCACTCTGATAAGGATAGAGTAGTTCTTCAAACTTCTGAGAATTGGACTAGTGAAATGATTCCTATGTGCAGTGATGTTAGCCAGTAATCCTCCCACGCAGATATCTTGAGGGAAATGACCTTTGAAATCATTGTCTCCAATATGCAGGGTAATTTCCTCAAGTTATTCATTTCTGATGGAAGGTTGCCACTAAGTTTGTTTCCACACAAGTTTAGATAGGTGAGCTCTGTCAAATTTCCAATACTAGAAGGAAAAAATCCTAATAGAGTGTTTCATCCCAATGATAGCATGGAGAGCCTTGTCAAGTTTTCAATGCTAGAAGGAATATATCCAGAAAGTTTATTTTGATCAACAGAGAAGTTGCTTAAATTAGCCAAGCTCCAAATAAAGGGTGGGATTGAACCTGATATATTGTTCTCTAACAAATGCAATGTCTCCATAGAGTAGAGTTTCCCTACTTCCCAAGGAATCGGTCTTCAGATTTGATTGGAAAAAAGGTAAATATGGTGTAAATTGGTCATATTTCCTACAGTGGTAGGGGTGTTACCAGAGAGATTGTTTCTTGACAAGTCAAGTTCAACTACTTCCTTTAACATTCCAATTTCACTAGGAATGGAACCAATAAGTTGATTACCTCCAAGTACTGAGAATTGGAGATTAGGGAAAGATGAGAAATTGAGACTATCAAGCTCACCTCTTAATCCAAAATTTGGAAGATATATACTGAAAATTGAGTTGAACTCATTGCATGAGATTCCAACCCATTTGCAAGTACGACCACTATTATCGTTCCATGATGATAACACAGTTTGGCTGTGGTTGTCAAGGCTGGCTTTTTACTTTAGCAAAGCATTTGCTTTACTATTTAGTGAAGTCGTGAAAGAGGAAATAGGAGATGGTGGGAACAATGTTAAATAGCCAACTAGCAGGATCCACCAAAGTGTTAGGTTCTTAGGAAATTGAGGCTTTTTGAAGAGGAACCCCATGGCTGTGAAGGAAGTTTTAGACAAAATGAGAATGCTATGGGAAACGCAATGGATGCTAAGATATATATATATATATATATATATATAAGCACATGAACTAGCAGTCATTTATTGACAATGTGATTAGACGTTTCTGATACTTATACATGTAGGCATGTGCCTGTGCTATTGTATACAGACTAGTTGAATGAAGACTTTTCCTGATAGTTATTTAGGTAGTATTAAGGTAATTATATTTTACTTGATCAATTTTATTATTATAAAAATTTAATAGGCATTTAAAAATTTATATTTTTAATAAATGTTAGTAGAAGACATAAGGAATTATATAATCTTAAGAATTAAAAAAATAGTTGTGCAGTTTAAATAAAAAAGATTTACGCCATGCATATTACCATAATTTAATTTAAATTTTCAGATATAATTATAGACTCGATAAATTCATCATCTTTCATAAGAAAATGGAGAGGTAGCACCTCTGGGAGAGGCTCAGATAGGACATTAGATGAGGAAAATAGATAAATTCTTAAAATTCTTCTTCGATTAACTCAATCGACTTTTTGAGTAGTAAGGGACTTACTAATGGCAAAATTGAGAGAAAAAGGGAATAGAAGAAAGTTTATGTCGATGTAGCTGCTCAAGGCGTAATTTTTCCACCTTTCTATAGAAATCCTTGATAATACACAAGGAATCTAGATGGTTCAAATGGTCAAATGGATATCTAGGAGAATTGAATCTGGATAGAAAACGGAGAAGGCCTAGTTCCTTCCTTCCCACATACTTCATCCTATAGTTTGTTAGGTCTATACTTATCCCAAAATTTAAACTAAATTGTGATAACATTATGTAAATGTTTTTTAGTTGAATTGCACAAATATTTTTATCTTTTGAGATTATATAGTTCTTTAACAAAATGAAAAAGTATTTCAGACTTTAAATTGAATTTTAATTTTTAACTACAAAATATGCTAAATAAAATTTTTAGTCTCAAATATATATATGTTAATGAAAATTATATTAAAACATTAAAGTAAGATAAAAAAAACTCAATTAAATCTAACTGAAATACCTACCTTTAATTTTACTTTTTAACTATAGAGGGATATTCTAGTCATTTAACAACTTTCTAAAATTCTTAATTAAGTGTTCTGGTCTAATTAGGAATTTTTTAAAAGGTAAGCTTAAATTTAAAATTTTGATATTTTTGCTTGATTTAATTTAGATTCTCCCCACCTTAATCTCTGCAGTAATTAAATAGATACATAAACATAGTAGTATATAATATGTTGGTTTATAGTGGATGACTAAAATACTTTACAGTAGCTTCAGAATAATTTTAAAAGTAGTTCTAGAGTAGTTGTTACTACTCTGTTGATAAATATTTATGTTTATGATTATTGTAGATTATCATTGAAATTTTTAGAATAACTTTGTTGTAACTATTTGTAAACTGAAGTAACGGGCAACTATGGAAATTCTCCATATACACGTTGATAGTGTGTGATTGTACCTTGTTGGTTATCTACTGAATTATGCAAGACTGAATTACATAAATATATGTTATGTGTATTATATTCTGAATTTTTTTTAGTGTGATTTAACATACATTTCGTTTCATTTGTTATTTACATTATTGATTAATAATTAATACAATAATTAATATTAATACCAGTTTAATTCCTTGTTAATTATAATAATTAAATCATAGAGATATTATAGTTATTCATATTTTTAACTTACAATTCCTATATGTATATATTTATATTTATGTGGGTGTGTGATTTGGAATTAAAATGTGTGTGTAATGTTTAGATTATTATTCGAATTGTGGTTGAATCTTTCTAAAGCATGCTTGTATTCTAAATACTGTTGCGAAATCTCCGAGTATTCCAATTACTGTTGCGAAATCTCCGAGTATTTTGTTTCTTTCAAACATGCTTGCAACTTGTGGGTACATCTCAAATCACAACTTCATGCACACATGCCTATATTCTCACACAGCCCCATAATCCTCTTGCACAATCTTAATCCATGGCAGCACCTCTTTTATTCTCCATTAATGTTTCGGGTAGCCATATGTTGAATCCAGGAAAAAATTTTCAGATTTAGTACAACGCAACTAGCCAGATTTTAATCATATTCGTTGTGTATTTTATGCAAATACTATTTACTATAATATTACTAACTTCTAAGCATCATGTTTGCTCTCCATCAAAATTCGGACAGCATCATCACCACAAATCTAAAAATTCCAAGTTCAAGAATAGTGTTTAAATCATCACTTCAGAGTCTCCCTACTTGGATCAATCTTCTAAACTGATTATAACATTTGGAAGCATTAAACAGTTACTAATTTCAACTTTCAGCTTCCAAATTTCAGATTCATTTATATGTGTCCAATAACAGACCATCATATATCACAAATACACATCAATTACTTAAGAATTTGGATATTTCGATGAGATTCCCATTTGAAAATTCGAATGACTCCATCTGACAGAAAAATGAAGAATAAAAAAAATATCATCCTTTCGACAGTAATATTCAACATGTAACAACATCACACATGCAACCGAATATATATCTATATATACACACACATCTCCACAATGCTTCATTCTTCTCATTCAAGCACTTAGCCTCTTAGAAACTCTCAAACATCTTTAATCAATGAAATCTAGAATTTTCGGATCTGAGATACACCCAACAAAGATTCAAACCATCACATGCAATCCTCTAAATCAATTTCTACAAGCTTGATCATTGTTTCTCACTTTCACAAGCTATATCTGACGCCGTTTTTTCCCCCTAATCATTAACCCCTGTTTTTGGCAGCCAAAACAGAGAAGGAAACAATACATGCAAGCTA